TATATTGTGAAAAATTACCTAATGATGTATTTTTAATCGATTCACACATTAGATGTTAAGTAAAACAAAAAGCATCAATACACTAATTTAAGTCTTGAATGAAGGTATTATGAGCAAAGAAGGTTTAAGCTTAGAAAAAAGTGTTGAGATTTAGCAAAAAAAATTTTCATGCTCAATAAGGATTTTAGGTGTCCAAGCTTAATCTTACACACCCAATCCCGTGCGTTTAATGTTCTCAATTCCTTTTAGATGCACCTCAAAAATAGGTTTTGAATTAAATTTCAAACATATTCTAGCCTATCATTTTGCTTGTTGATTTAAATACTTATAGTATAATTGGGTTTTTTGGCTTTTGATTTTGATTAAAACATAAAACTTTGTCTATCAAAATGTAATTATTGATAATGATATCCTTATAATAGAATGAGTTTTCATTTGTAAACATTAAAATAGTTTAGGTCAAAATGATAAAATCATTTTCAGGAAGATTTCTAGTCGATTTTCTTTTTTGATAATAGAAAAAAGGCAGTTGAGATATAATATATCATTAAAGATGATCAAACAAGTCATATATATCATGGTAAAATTTTACATTGTTGTACAAGAAATTCGTTGCTGGTAATAATTTATTATAACAGCATCAGATGGCAGGGACGAAATTTATTACCTCACTTTTTTCTCTTTTTTAATTCTCACATGTAAGAATTTTGATTTTAAAGAAAATTTAACCATGATTTATAACGCAAACTCTTAGTAGAAACGTCAGCTTGATAGTCAATTTCAGTCAGGCTAATTTTCCCCACACTCCAGCCGCCTTCAAAATCTCTTCTCTAACCTCATTTTTAGGATGTTGAACCCATCCACACATAAAGCTTTGCCGAAACTTCACGATTTCTTTCTGTAAAATCTTTTTAAGTAAGTCGCAATTTGACATGGTTTAGCTTAGTAAAAGACAAACTGATACTCACGTATTGATAATCAGGCATGGTTTTGTCTTCCCATTTTATCGATCCATCCCAAATTTCCATGTATTTCAGCACATAGATGCCACAATCATGACTTTATAAAATAATAGAAAGCATCAATGAGAAAGAACATCTTATTATCACCAATAATGAATTGCGTTCTTTACATAAATGAAAATTAAAGCTACATACTACTCACATGTTTTGCTGCCTAGGAACATCAGCGTAAACCAGTGTTATTGATGCATTCTCTTCGGTACCAGGATTCATTAATACCAGCAGCTCCTCAAAACGACGTTTCTTTGAATTAAAAAAGCGTTGATTGGTTGGACCAGACGAATAATAGTAAGGGATAAAAATTTGACAAATAATTTAAATTTTTTCCCAAGGAAAAAAGAAAGGCTCAACACTACCGTTGCATCATCCAAGTTCTTCTTGCTGGTTGATAGTCTATCAGGCATGGAATCTAACACATGCAGGATTTTATCCTTGGGTTCGAGTACATAACAAGACCAATGCTCGTCAAACAAAGTTGGTGCAAAAATCTGAAAGAAGGACAATAGCAACAAATTATCATAAATGAAAGACATTGTATACCACTGAGTCCAATGGTTGTTAGCAAACTACTAACATTTTCATTCCAGGCATACAAAGGTGACACCACACTTACCAATTTGCACTGATAAATTTCATAACCCAGTTTACTCGGCAATATGAATAGAGATACATCCTCAATGCACCAAGTCTTGTAGCTATCTTCATCAGAAAGATTTAAGTCGCATTTTACCTTATTCTACACAGAAACACCACTGACTGACATGAGAGTGTTATGCTGACAAGACTATATAGAAGAACAACCACACTACTCTGTTGTTTGTAAACATTATAGTTAAGTACTAACCATAAATTGTGGGCTAAATATATGACGAGTGACAGCCCCATTTGTTGCCTTCTCTTCTTCCATCATTATCTTTCCAGCAGCTAAAATCACCTGAGCATTATATATACTTCTTCAGAGTTATATGACAAATAACTAGTACCTTACATTGGGCCTTCGGAATGTTTTATACCGACCATATCACTGACCCATCCTTTCGGTTTCATTGTATAGCTATCCTTGCGGTTTAAGTGAACGCCAAACATGCTAACCACGACACTGGGATTTGAATATAATCTTTGACATCATTAAAACAACAAAAACGAAATTAAAATAATAAGACACCTAAGCTTTGTACCTCAATTCTTCATCTGCCTTTGGTCGACGAGTGCAAAAGTTATATAGCTTGATCAGCATAGACCGGAAATTTTTATTCACATCCTGCTTTACTTCTTGACTGCTGGAAGAATCCAATGGCACAGGTGGCTTATTTTTGGAGGCCCTGATAGCTAATTGAATAATACATTATCAAGTCACTAGGATTCGGCTAGAGCAACTGTGGGTTTGAGCAATTTGCAGCATCTGTTTGGATAAAAGCTCAGTTCCTTGGATGGAACTACACAGAAAGGTGGGGGTGCAACCAGACACCCAAACATTTTTTTCCTTGAAAACAATGTATAATTTTTCAGATAAGCCCCTCAAGTAGAAGAAATCTGCCTCTACGATTTTTCAATTATTCTTCTTATTTTTTTCTTCTAAAAGTGCTTATGGAAAAATTCATACAAACATAATTTTAGTCAATAACGATTTCAAAATATTAAGGTTTTAAGTGAAGAAGGAGATTTTGTAACAACTACCACGGCTTAAAGGTCCAATTGCCTCATCATTCATTGCGGCTTTCAGGCTGCTATCAGCTGCAGTAAAGGGAAGCACAATGATCACATCAATGTAGGAATATGTTTGGACGAGTTTCACCCTAAACAATTCTAGGAAAGGAAAAATAATGTAATAGACTCAAGTTAAATTACTTTATGCTTAAGTTAAAAATAAAAAAATTTAGAGAAACTATAAGACAGTTTCTCCTATGAAAAAATTAATTTCAAATTTTCTTCTTATTTTCCTTTCCGATAAATCTTGGAGAAATTAATCCAATGAGTTCTAAAATTAAACTTCTAAAACTACTGGAGGATATACTGTATACAAAAACAATGAAGTATCAAAATCAAAATACTTAAACACTTTTAACAATTTTCTAGTTCAAGTAACAAAATGAATGGGAATGAATTGTCCTTGACTGATAAATGAATTCTGAGTATTTAATCATGTGTAGTAAATACGTATATGATACATCATACATGTACAACTACAATTAATTCATGCTTCAGGAAAGTAACAAAAGCTCGTACAAATACTGATGAGACAAAAGCAAGTAGATAAAAATATTATACCTCCGGCATTGTTGGATGCATTCTTCCTCTTACTTCCCATCCTTAACTTTCACTACTCGGCAAAACAGAAAAAAATTAAAATCTGAAAATTGTGACAAAGAAGGAACACAAATTTAAAATTATCTCTAATTCCAATTAAAATAATATTAATCATGTTGAATTTTGAAAATGAAGTAGAAAGCATGAGGTGACTCATTCTCTTTATGGAAATGGAACCGTGAACATCATCGTTAACTCGAGAACCGGAATTAATTGCAGAAAGAAAAAGAAATTTGAATATGGAGTAATGCAAACCCTAAGACGAAGAAGTCGAAAGGAAATTGAAAAATGTGTGCCACACTCACACGCACTACGCAACTTCCCCGACCGTTATCTTTCTTCCCAACATTCCTTCTATAGAATTATCGAACCATCTTTTGCACTGCCATGCCTTAATTCGCTTTAATACTTACTACGATCAAATCAGTAACGGAAGTTTAAGCAATAAAAAAATGTAATAAATATTTTTTTAAATATTGCTTTAATTAGTTACTATTTCTATGAGCAAGAGAGACGTTAGAACATATTGAATGAAAAGTTTAGTGGACGTTATTTAATTTTTTTCAATCTCATTTAAATAATAACTTCACTTTTTAAATTCATTTTTTGCATTCAATTAATGGTTCACTTCCAATTTCACGGAAACTTGTTCTAAATGAGATTTTCTTTTTGGTTTAAAAATGTTTTGTGATTGATATTATGAGAGAATGAATTGTTGAAAATAAAATTTGAATGAAATTAAAAAATATATATTATTATATTGAGTGAAATTAATTGATATATATATATATATATATATATATATATATATATATATATATATATATATATATATATATATATATATATATATATATGAGTTTGAAGGCGGTAGCGTCTATATCGATACTTGATAAAAAAAAACATGTTAAACATATCTTAAAACATTTAATTTCTTTAATACTATAATTATCACTGTATTTTTTTTTAATTTAGTAATTTTATATTTCTTGACAAATTTTTATTTAAATTTGATTTTATTAGAAGTCTCAACACTTGAATACGAATTATGCTTTCATACTGCCCTCGAAACTAATTAGAGTGAAAACAAATCAGAATGGTAAAAATAAATGAGAACTTAAGAAAAGAAATATTTTTATACTTAGAAATAATAAAAAATTGTTTACATATTTAGAAGAAGATAAAAGAGAATATATACATTCAACTTGATCAATAATAGAAAAAACAAAAACTATATTATAAATTTTTCTTTATAGTATCAGAACTTTATATATATATATATATATATATATATATATATATATATATATATATATATTATCCTTTCATTTATCCTAATTACATAATTATTCTTAAATAGAATTTGTACAAACTTTCATAATTATACCAGAAAACTATTAAGAAATATCAAAATTCGTTAAAATAATTAAGAAATATCACAGTATATTAAGACTTTAAGATGAATCAAAATTTATTATTTAATTTATAAGTTCAAGTTTGAAATTTCACTCTATTACTATGATAGAAATAAAAATAGAATGACAAGACTAATATATATAAAAACTCAGACACAAAAAATACTTTCATTTTAGGACTAGACATATTTAAGCTTACTTTCTTTATAAGCATTTCAACTATCACGCTAAGAATGTCTACAAAAGAGCGCGAGTGATGGCCAGTAATGTATATTTCATAGTGCTTTCAAAGCATCAAATTATTCTCATTGACCAGATTGGTTTGAAATCCCTATCCCTGTATAAACCAATAATAAGAGGGTCATAATCATATTTCTTCCATTTTGCTGTTGAATAATAATGTACAGAACACATCCAGTAGTAGAGTATACAATGACAATAATACATCTCACTCAACCCACAAGTAAACATGAAAGGATCATGCATGGATTCTCTACAAAACCTTGACGTCCCCATCCATAAATGCAGGATCACAATACAGTTTCCTATCTACTGTACAAATGTCTAACCTCCCAAAAAAAAATAGTCTACGAGTTGAGCTTTGAATCAATTTTAAACCTTTCTCTAGCATCTATATGGTGTTCCAATTCAAGGAGATACATTTGTCATTGCACGAACTCTGTCATTTCTAGTATCTAAAGTGCAGGAGAGAAACCTCTCATGTTGATGCTGCATATTAAATATGTTACATACAACAAGAAGTTCCTCTTTAACAACTAGTGAGATTTGGGTGAGTTGATTGCTTGATATGGACAAATTGTCAGAAAGTTTAATGCTGTGGGACAAATGAAAGAACTCCACAAGCCCGAGCCTGAAGCCATGCAAAATGCACTTTGGTGCCCCGTGTGGCCTATTCTCCGACGCAAAGTTATTTACAATGATTCTCTCGTGCTTTGGCTCCTTATTGTATAATTATATTCATGCAAACAGAACAATGAACAGATCTGCATAACCAAAGGTATTCTGAGAAACTTCAAACAGCTGCTCAGATGAGTGGCCCAGGAAAAAACCGTGATGTCATAAACCATTTGGCCGGCTAAGCAAAGATGAGCTGGGACTGAGATCAAGGGATGGGTTGATCTTAACATGTTCACACAGAAGCTGCCGACCAACACGATCCGCCAAGACTGACTGAAAATCATATGGCCCTGCATGTGGAGGCCTTGCAAACTGCTTAACCAGAACATCATTTTCACTGGAAACCAGTTCTGATGGAATGTGAGACCCTATTTGCACTCCTCGAAAAATGTCAACACTTGAGTCATGATGAGCAGGGCCATTAACGTACATACCATTTGAGGACTTAGGAATGCTTCCAAAACCCTCTTGAAAGTAAATAAACTGTCTGGATGCCCCAATGCCACCAAATGGAATGGCACCACTGCAACCAGCGAGAGGTGTGGATGCCCCAGAAGCAGTCCGAGGGCTGGATATAGGAGAAGGAGACATTTTCCCATTCCTGTGCTGTGGCGATATTGACCTCAAAAGTGGGCTTCCAATGGGAGAGACAGGGCAAGATATATTCCTTGGAATATGGATTTCACTGGACATCAATGACACAGTTTCAGATTATTGACAAAGTCAGCAGTGGTGCATGCAAGTCTCCATGTGTGAGTTGTGTGTGTGGAAGGGTGACAGAGAGAGAGAGAGAGAGAGAAACCTTTCATGAGGATTAATTTTCAAAAATCTAGAAGAATGAACAGAAAGTCTATCTGAATCCAAGATAGAAGGATTCTTTGCTTGTCCAACGGCCTGAGAATTTATCAAAGATGCATGGAATTATTATAATAACAAGAGGTAATACAAGGAGAAACAAAATGAGACGCAACTATATATGGTGCCGTTGATGCAAGAAATTTAGATAAGATATCACACTTGAAAACTAGTTCATGTAAAGACTTAAAACCAGATATACTGTAGAGCCTACATCCATATAGAGATGTAAATAAAATTGATGTTACTGTTAGAATAATGAATATCACAATTCTTTAAGATTTCAACAATCCCTTTAACTGAACTCCATCCATGCACTAAGTCTCTAACAAAATTCTAGCCTGATCTGACGGAATGAGAATACAATTAATACACCAAAGAACATCTATTATTTTATGCCTCAAGATACTGTCCCTGCCTTTTCCTTCTGCACCATTCATGCTGTCTCATTCAAGAACAATTTCTAAGGCAACAAACTATTCGATAACTCTATGAGGTTTGAATCAATTAGCAACAGTTAACCATTGTTAGTCTGACAGCTGGACTGTCAATCAGTGGGTTAGACCCATAAAGAAAGGGGTATAATGAGGAGAAAAGGGGAGAATTGGAGGGAGGGTCTTTGGTTTTGGGAGTAGAAATGAGAGGGAGAACCAGGTCTCACAAGCACCACTTTGTTTGGTAAGACAAAAGAGGAAAGAAAGGAAAAAACTATGTGGGTATGGAATTATTCTTTCCTTCCATTTTGAAAAGAAAATCAGAGAAAGAGGTTAACAAATAAAAAAGACAACAATACCCTTGCTTGTTATACAGCTATTTTTTTTTTATTGGGATGTTTGTTTCATTTTATATGAATGTCCTTTTTATTTCTTTCCTCTTTTAACAAAACCAGACAAATTATACAATCATCTCACTTTCTTTTTAAAACCCAACATACCATCAGATACAGGTCCAGACATAGGTTTCTGTCAATAAACATGCCATTTCTTTTCTATTAACATAAATGAAAAAGGAAGTGATAATATAACCCTGCAAATACCCCAACATTCTGGACTCATTAAAAAATTATACATGCGTTTATCCAATAGCATGCCTATACAATGTACATGCAAGAACATTTAAATCAATCATGACAATGTAACAGCATGAAGAACAAAAAGTCGTTATCACAGTTTCATGAGCAGATGCTTTCAATTTTGTTCTATCATGTGTAGACAAACAATGCAGTGGGATGTTTTGATACATAAGCAGCATAAAATGCATTGAAAAACAAAAAAGCTACTCAACAATGCTAATGTGGACACACTACAGAAATAAAACTTTGTTTTAAACGATTAATGTTAAAGAAATATAGTATATACCAGAGCTTTTGCTCCCTGTGTAATCCCAGAAACAGGGTCCAAAACTTCTGGAACCAGAATAGGTCTTTCCAAAGGCGCAGCAAGTTTTACAAAAGGGTGGTCCAATAATTCAATGGCTGAAGGGCGATCATGTGGGTTACGCTGAAGACATTTCCTAACAAAATCTTTTCCTTCATTCGAGAGATGATCAGGGATTGTTGGGAGTTCCTTGCTATTACCAATCTTGAACATGGCAGCAACCTTTATGATAGCAGGCAATTACATCAAGCCATAAGAAGAAATAGTTTCAAGGGCGTCTGTTTATGATAAAATTATGAGTTAAACATATTTAGTCCCTGCACTTTCGTCAAACATGATTTTGGTTCTTGTACTTTAAAAATTGATTAATTAATCATCAAACTATATAAAATATATGAATTTAGTTCTTCTATCAACTTTGTTGACAGTAAAAAACAGTTACTAAATGTTAAATTTAGATATAAAGAAAAACTAAAATCACATATTATGTGAATTTAGTCTTTTTATCAACTTTGAAATGATAAAAAATTCATCAGTAAATGTTAAATTTAGGTATAAAGAATAATTAAAATTACTTATTTTCAAAAATTGGAAGATTGAATTCATCAATTTAAAAGTACAAGGCCAAAGACATTTAAAAAAAATACAGAAACTAAAAACATATTTTTCCCTAAAATTATCATCAGTTCTTTGAAAATATAAAATATTTCAAATAAATATTAAAGTAATGGATAAGAGAAATTAATATAAGATCTGATATATTGACACAAGCTACTAACCCCTTCATACTGAAACCAAGGAGGTTTGGTCGTAGCCATTTCCAAAACTGTGCACCCAAGACTCCATATATCTACCGCAAGATTGCATCCATTAGAGTTCTTTATAACCTGAATCATCAGAAAGCAATGATATTTTGTCACAAAACTGAGACATAATTAAAATATATAAATATATATATATATATATATATAGAGAGAGAGAGAGAGAGAGAGAGAGATATCAGAACCTCAGGAGCCATCCAGTAAGGAGTTCCCTTGAATGATAATGGACATGATTGCCCTGTTATCTGCAAATTATGTAAGGTACAAGTAAGGCAAACAGAAGAAGCTATTCAATCTCTGGATTATTAAATCGTTGAATTAGAAAATAAAAAACCAGATGCAATCTCAATGACAACCATACAGGAAAAGAAAACACTGAATTCAATAGAAACAGAAGAATCCAGTGCCTTTATTGATGGTGTTTGTCTTTGATGTTGGAGTTTCACATGTTAACTAGTAGAAGCAAGGAAAAGAAAGTTACTATATGGAATGTGGTCTACACACAAATCTACCATCACCGTTACAAAAGGTTCGCAGTCTACAAAGGTGATTCAGAAAAGGTTCTAATCTTCTAGGGAGATTTATTACTTTAAGTTCTGCATTCTGGTTTATTCGACATCCCACTTCAATATCAATTTGATTTATTTTTCTGCTCCCTTTTTCATTTCTATGTTTTCTCTTTGCATATTGTGGGGGATCCACTCTTCACATTATTTTACAACATTTTATAGCTCTAAAACGAATTAATAAGAACCTTACAAGAATTATATCACAAAACCTCGCAAGAATTATACCACAAAACCTTGCTCTTTTGTTAGAAAGCTAAAGGCTTTATCTTATAAAACCCACACTAAAATCCCTTAATTCAAATTTGGAATTAGATCCTAACTGAAACATTATATTAGGGAGAAACCTGCGTTCACTGATGATTGTTCTCAGATTTGGTAAAAAAAACTATACTATTTCTATAATGAGTTTATTTCTGAAGCTCAACAGATTCATATCAAACTCCTTTAGCTTAAATGCAGATATAATGGAAACTAGATACTTATTATCTCCAAGCTTACATGTTTTGCCATGCCAAAGTCTGCCAACTTGACCCGACCAGTTGGATCTACCAGTATATTTGCTCCTTTGATGTCCCTTCACAAATAAATGCAATTTCAAAGACAGGCATCGTAACAGCAAAAATTTAAATATTTAAATCATGAATAGGTGACATAGTTTACCGATGGAGAGTACTTTTAGTATGCAAATAAGCAAGCCCTGATAAAATTTGTTGGGTATAACTACGAATAACTAGTTCACCAAACTGCCCATATTCTTGAAGAAGTTTGTGTATGGAGCCTCCAGATACATACTCAAGGTATATGTAAAGCTTATCATCAACCTGTTTAAGGGACAGAAGCTTCTATAAGGAACCACAACATCAAATACTGCTCAGAAATTTCCACTCCTATGTCATCAGATGAACCACCAGAAACAAATATTATGCTACTAAAAATCCAGAATATCATGCATACATTAGAAATGACAGTCTACAACAAAACTAACAATAAATCATCATCACCCTCAGAAAGGTAAACATCAGAATCTGAATGCTAACATGTATTGTCAGTATGGTTTTGTAAACCAGAAGTGGAGAGAACTTACTGTTTCAGAACCATAATACTGGACAATATTTGGATGCTGTAAACGGCTTAATAAATGAATTTCCTGCCAGTAATTTATTAATGGGTTTTCAGTGTCAAATTTAACTCAGAACTAGAAACTATAAAATTGCACTTACCTGTATGAAAAATCAATTTACCTGCATAAATTGCTTAGCACTTTCCATAGACTTGGGATCATCTGAAAAAAGGGTAACCTCCTTCACTGCACACATTTCGCCACTTTCACTAAAAGAAAGAAACATTATAAACAAAGTAACTCTTATTAAGATGCATATAGAGAAATGAAGGGAAAAAAAAATAAACATGAAATTAAGAACATTTAAACTAAGGTAGATACCTATTGAAGCCAAGATAGACATGTCCAAATGAGCCGCTACCAAGCAGCTTTCCTTTCTTCCAACGTGAGCCAGAGCTTGGAGTATCTGCTCTAGCTGGACTTCTTGGCATAGACGGAGATGTTGTTGCAGAATTTGAATGAGAGAATGGTGAAGAATTAGGGATTGACAAAGGAGGAAGGGGCAAACGATGAGTCTGCTGTTTTACATCATCAACCCTTCCTGTCTGTGATTCAATGGGTGTTCCCCCAGCTTTGGGATGAATAGGGGTGACTGCTCCACTCTGAATTCTAGAGCTTGGACCAGGACTAGTCATTCTGGGACTGGGTACTGGAGAATACTCAGGACTACCCCTACTTGGTTGCCAAAATAAAGGTCCTGACATGTCCCCTCCCATCGAATTATGTCCAGAATTGTGACCCGAACCTGGACTTGAGCAATGTCCAGATCCAACCAAGTTGACCTCTGAATATGGCTTTCCAGACCAAAAAGCAGAATTCAACACTTGATCCGTGCCAAATGCTCTCAATGGACTCCTTGATGGACTTGACAAGGAACTATCGGGAGCACTATAGAAGGCACCATGAGGAGGAACCTGAAGATTTGGAACTTGGTTGTGTAAAGGCCTGCGTTTTGGTGAAGTAGAAGATGTATGATTACTTAGAATACTTCCAGGTTTTTTCACTCCTGCTGAATTGAGTTGGGACACGGCAACTGGCTGATCCTTGAGCATCGAGCTTCATAAACAGGGCAACTTTTGAGTAAAGGAGAATATACATACATCCATACATCCATATATATATATATATATATATATTTCTAAAATTTTAATCACATATAACCAAGACATGTATATGTAACAAGCACATTCTGGAAGCATATTATAGTTTGAGGAAGCTACCTGGAAGGACTGCCAACAGCAGTTCTAGTCCCAGTCTCACAATCAACGGCTAGAGGACTACGATTGTGTGAGTGCGGTTCATCACTGTCAGCAGAGCAATCACTAAAGACTGAAGCAGTGACCATATCTCCATCCAAATCTGCAGGGTTTGGCTTACAACGTATGCATCCAGGTGTTGGAAGTGGAAGAAACAATGATGGCTTGGAGACTTTTTCCAGCCTTGATTTTGATGATATGCTAATTTCTGAATCTACCCGACCTACACTTGAAGGGTGCAGACCAGGAAGTGGAAGAGGCTGAGCATGAGGTCTTTCAATAAAACTTTGACACCTAGCCACTTTGGAAGGTGAAGGTGATCTTGATTCAGTCAGAGAATGATCCCCCTTCTCTGAAACTGTGTCATTGCAATGTCTACGGGATCCTCCAGATCTAGTGCTTAGTTTACCTTCAGATGAAATTTTAAATTTCCGGTGCAGTGTATCAAAAAAGCTTTCCTTATTTGATTTCTTCTTGCTTTCTTTTGATGATGATTTTCCCCACCATGTAAGCATATTTGTATTTTATAAATTGAAATGTGGCAAGAAAATTTCTTAAAAGGATCCCAGTAATAGTTAAAAAAATCTATCATTTCACAGCAGTAAACAGAGTTACCAAAGCCGTAATGCAGCCATTAACCTTTAAAAGTAGGAGAATCACAAATTCCAAAGCAACACTTTTAGAATGAGAGACAAGAATCAGTTATTCAAAATATTTCAAAAACCTGCAGAGCACAGAAAAACATGTACTTCAAATCAGTAAAAGAAGCATATACATTTAAGTCATAAATGTATATATTGTATCCAAATTCTTCAATACATGCATAAATATCAATTCTTCATCAATAAGTCTATAACAAGACAATTCAAAGTGATAGAAGAAGCTAACAATTCATTGATTTCTGGTTCATACCACAACTATTAACTAGTAATGAACATTAGTCAAAAAGTATGGTACAAGAAGCACCAAATACCTGATCTATGACAAAGGATAAAGTAATTATTAAGCATTTAAAATTAAAAAAATTTGTTCCATCAAATACTTAGGTTCCAATTTCCAAGTTCAATTCTCAATGAAGCATATAAGCGATATATTTAAAACATCAATCTCTAACTACAGGAAATGGACTAATACATCAATACATCATTAGTCATTACTTATAATTATGCCTTGTGTGTACATTATAAAACTCCCAAAACTTGAATAACTTTTAAAGACAGGATCATTCAATTCACTTCCTAAGCTCAAATTTTGTTATTTTCCAACTTCAAGGCACAATTCATATATCTCTATTTAAATTACAAGTCTAAACGAAAGGAGGAATCGAGGATGAAACTCAGCAACTGATACCCAACTCTTCATCAAAACTAACCGATACACAATAATAGCCTTGTTTGAGTGTCTAAATACCTAGATTACCCCACATACCAAGAAAAATATCAAAACAAAAATTCCAATTTCCTAATTCTCTCCCCCACCCCCGATTCCACCAAAATTTCCAGGATCCCAATAAGCAGTACCAATCCATTGTTAAAACAAGCACCTTAAACAAAGATCCACTAAGACATGATTGAGCAAAGCAAACAGCTAAATCGACTAACTTGTTGATCATGAAGTGAAATCAGGAAAAGGGTACCTAACATGGTGAGAAGAGGGGAGACTCAATCAACTCTGAATTGAACTGAACGTACTGCAAATTTCAGCTCGAATCTGAGTGAGGAAATCCTCTGAAGCGTTCGTAGCTAGCGAGAGAGCCCCAAAAGACCCACTGAAACCCAAAATGCGAAAAGTAGAGAAGGATTTTGAAGTGATTTGTGGTGAAAATATTCGCAATTGAAAGTAAGTGGAAGAGATCGCGTAGAGAAGCAGAGAGAAAGAAAGAGAGTGAAAGAAAGGGTCTCCTCCGTCTCAATCAGTGTTCACAACTGATGATTACTTCATTCTTCTTAATTATAATTGAAAATAATTAGTCGGTATAAATATTAATTGCCAATTACCACGTTTCTTTTTTAACCCTTCCAAACTATTGCAGATGTTAAAAAATACGTAGAGTCAACTAACCAATCACCAAAATATAAATATAACTAATTTAGTTTTAGAATATTAAATATATTAATTACTCTTTCTAAAACTATTTGTATTATTGTGGAATCCATTCAATTATCTGCTTCATCAGGATAAAAATAAATAAATAAATAAATAAATAAACTTAACTTAGTTAAAAACATTTTATATTTTCTTTTGTTAATGTTTTTCTAAACCATCTATTATTATAAAATTCAATTATATACTTAAAATAGTTAAAAACATTAATGTATCCTATTTTTTTTCTAAACTTAATTTTGTACACAACATTAATTAATTATGTTCCTCTCACTTTCATTGCAAGAGGAAAAATATATTATTGTGTTTGAAATCGAATAAATACTACAATTTTCGGAAGAAATTAGAGTATCTTTCGTCAAATACTAAAAATTAGGGCAATCTAAGAACTAATTATTGGCGTTAAAGGAATTACTTTATTAATGAAAAAATAATGAATATAAGATACGTTTTTAACTAAGGATGAAGTTATACACTTCACTTAACTTGGTTGGACCTTATAATATAAATAAATCAAATCATACATTTAGCTTAGACATTAAGACAAAGATAGAAGGTAATGATTATTTTCAAAAAAAATTAAATAGAAGGTTAATTGTAATTTAAACTCTCTTAATGATTATTAAATTTTGAATGCAAACGTACGTTGAGTTGAGACATGTGGTTAAGAATTTGATTTGAAATAATTTTTTATAAGTATGGATAAATTCATGTACTTATAAATATTTTCACTACAAACAATATCATAGAATTCTTTGGTATTTGATTTTAATTTTGTTTTTGTTTTTTCTAATTGTCCAAAATTAACATATATGATAACTTATACTTTATTACATTGCTAGAATAACGTTTATCGATTATATTTTTCATTCGAATAAAATGAAACTAAAAAAAAATGTTTCAGATTCGAGTATTATAGAAAAATAATGAAAATAAAAATTAATATAAATGTTAAATATTGGACATAAAATTAACTGATGAACACAATTATTTATTTAAAATGGGGGAAGACCAAATTCGAGTAAATATATAAAAGAACCAAATTCGAATTTCATTGAGAATAAAGATTAAAAGAATAATTAAATCTACAAATATATGAAAACAATTTTATTATTTTTTTTAGGATAAATGCATAAAAAAATCTAAGTTACTTTATTGGGTGGGTGTGACGAAAACAAAATACAATGAATTTGGTTGGTTAATTGTTTGTGAGAGGAATCAAATTATGGGATGTAATCTTTAGCCAGAAAAAGTCACTTAATGTGGCACTACACATTATATGTTCAAACAAAGGGTATTACCGTAAATAGGGGATAGTTGGCACGTTGCTAATATTTAAAGCCAAAAAAAGATCATGCTTTTATGATTTTAGTTGCCACCTTTGTATATAAAATAAAAAAGTTTCGGCTTAAAAGGGAAGAGTGACAGTGATGAATGTTGAAATAATAATCTTTATAAACTTTAGACTTAATCCATGTTAGTAAATAATTACAAATGGATAATAGTTAAATCTCTTAAACATGCAGATCAAGATCTAATTTTGTATACGAAAAGTATAGAAAAAATGAAATTTACTTTAATAATCTTCGAAATAGTTTTCTATTTGAACACCCTGTTTTTTGCTATACTTTATGCTCAATTTGAAAAAAGTAAATAAATAAAAAGAGAAAATGTTTATATATTCTTAATTAAAATAAATTCAATCAAACTTAATAAAATAATAATTTAAATATAATAATAATATTTGTGTAAAAATAATTAAAATAATATTAAAAATTATTATAATCCCTATAAATTATAATAGAAATGATAAATATAAAATATAATAAAAAGTAAAAACTTAATAATAGTAATAATAAAATAAATATTATTTAAAATTAACGTGATACGTGATAAAAAAAATAAAAATATTTTCATTGTTATAAAAAAATAAAAATATGTTTTTAAATTTATTTCAATTAACATAAACTGTTTATTATTTATTACTGTATAAAATATTTATTCTTTGAACAAAATATAGTCATATTATAAATATTTTAATTTGGACAAAAATTACTCTTGAAACTAAAATTTTCATATTAAAAAATAGAAAATAAACTCATTAACCACTTAGGAGATTTGAAAAAATTACTACTTGTCTTTCACTAAGTATTAATTAATTTTATTACGAAAAATAAAAAAAGAGGGAAATGTACCTTACATTTTTTGAAAAATAAGATGACTGATGATATTTTTTTTCATTGAAGTGAAGAAGTAAACGACGCAATGGGTATAGGATGACGCCATAAGGAAATATTAAAGGCAAATACTCAATTTACAAGTTAGATTTTGCAATTTTTTTATTGCTAAATTATTTTTAATCTAATTAACTACTACTTTTCATTATTTGATAATTCTTTCATTATCTTTATTATTTTTATGAAGAAAAGTTTCAATGGAAGAAACTAACACCTAATTAAAATATTAAGTTATAGCAAAATATTAGGTTAACATTAGAGATTATTAAAAAGTAAAAATAAATTGATATTTTATATATTAGATTTTGAATGCTATAAGATCTATTGAATGAATAACTTATATAATTGTTAAAAATAAAATATTAAAATAACTTAATCATAAAACGATAAATTGTTTTGTAGTTAAAAAAAAACAATCTTAAAAAAATATTTTGATAATTATTTTATATTCATAAACAAACTAAATTTATAAAATTGATAGAAGTCATTAAAAAAATCCTTTTATTTTACTGTATTTTAAATGTTTTATATTTAGAAAGTGAAGTTAATTATAATTTATAAACACTTTTTCCCGTATTAAATATAATATAATATAATATAATATAACTAATATTATTTTTTATGGAGTTTTTAATTTTTCATAATTTTTTTTAAAATTTAAAAATATATTAAATTACAGTGAAATTATATTTGATACTGAATTTTGTTGTTGCTAACCTTTTAAAGTCTGTAAAATGACACGAATATAATTTTTTCCCTTTATTTTATTGGATCGTGTAGAAAATAAAAAATATAAATAATTAAACTAAGAATTGAATAAAATTACATACAATAATTTTTTTAAGATGAAAATTGCCTAAAATATTAGAATCAAAATTAAAATAATTAAAAATAAAAGTACTTAAATTGAAAAAAAAAACTAACATTATGATTTTCTTTTAAATCTAACGACTAAATTTATATATATATATATATATATATATATATATATATATATATATATTAAAAATTAAACATAAAAAAATTCTAGATAAAATAAACAAATAAATAAGAGAACTACAGTGGCAGAAGAAAAATTTAAAATTTCAATTAAACCCAACTTCAAACATCTCTCGAGAGGTTACGCCACAGCTCTTTTGGCTGTCCTGCGTCCTTGTCCATCTCGCCGCCTCGCGCTGCGGCGTTTTCCTCTCTCCCGTTGCCGCTGCTGCGCTTTCGTCTCATCCCAGTTCTATTAGCAAGTTAACCGAGACAGCTACGAAGGAAACCAATTACAGGTAATTTTCCCCCCACCCCCTATTTTTTAGGGTTTCCTTGCTTCTATGAATTGTTAAGTTTGAATAACCTTTTCGTACACAGATACAATACAACTATGAATTTTGGTACAAATAAATAGGGAACGAGAAAATTATGTAAACTACCTTTCATTTAACTCCTATTTCAGGATAAATATTGGAGTTCTTAAACTCTTTGCAGTGCCTCTGTTCCGAGCCCTTCTTTTATGAGTTTAGCTGAACAGTGTGTGTGTGTGTGGGGGGGGGGTCACATTGCATGTCACTAGTTGAATGAGCTGTCTATTAGTAGTCCTTGTTCTACTGCACACAAACCACTTCAGGCTTGGGTATGTTCTTCATTGGTTTTCATGCACATGACTGTGTTGAATGCTTTACCCTATAGTAAGTTCTCAATTACTGGTTGCTGTATTATTAGTAGGATAGGGTCTAGTTCACACTATTTAGTTTTCCCTGCTGCAAATATTGTTAAGATGATGTGCCTAGAATACTCCTTATAACGCTTGGGTCCTCCTTTGAGCTAGTCTTGCGAGTGAATTCTGGCATGTTTGGATAACCAGTAAACTTCTCTATAAACATTTATAAGAGGAAAAAAGAAGATAGGATTAAATAAGTTTCCCATAAGTTAAACTAGGGGAAATATATTGCAATTTTTTCTTTTATATTTTCTTCTTCCTTATGTAGAAGTTTATCCAGACGAACCCTTAGTCTTGTTTTTTTCTAATACGATATTGGAGCATATTTATTCTTAATTTTGGGTCATCCACGTATCTCTAGTCTAGCTAACTTCACGCTAGTGGCTGGTTGAACGAAAGTTTGGAACTACGTACAGCAATTTATGCTGCTGTTGAATTTGGCAAGCGTGTGGTGTTTTCTAAAACTTAGATACACATTAAAGAACCTGTAGATAAATTGTACATTTCTTCTATTCTATTTTTAATAAATTGATTATTTAGTTTTGTTTATCCTTATGACAGTGAAAAACAATGAGGAAGCTAAAGTTTCATGAAAAGAAGCTTTTGAAGAAGGTAAACTTTTTGGAATGGAAGAGGGAAGGGGGTCACAGAGAGAACTTGGTTATGCAACGCTACCATATTACTGGACGGGATGATTACAAAAAGTATTATGCATGATTCATGATATTTATATTTCTGATGCTGGATAATTGCCTTTGTTTTAGATTAGCTTTTAGCTAACACATTTTATGTTTTTGCCTCTGGGGTGATGCAAATTTGGATAGATATTCAAGCTTATGCCATATGGTTCAGAAGTTAGTGAACATATTGAAACAGATGGACCCAAAGGATCCTTTCCGGATTGATATGACTGACAAACTTTTGGAAAAACTGTAAGTTCATTTTTATCACTCTCGTATCATGTGAACATATGACAACATCAACTGATAATTTGATAAAATACAGTACTGAACACAGAAGTCATATAGCACAACAATATACTTGCTGTCCCGTAGTCAAAAGTATTACTTTATTGCACACCTACTATTAGATGAATTGTAATACACATCTGCCATTCTGCAATACAGAACTAATGCCGAATCACTTATACAAGATAAGTTATTTATATAAAATACTATTATACTTCTAATAATAACTGCCTCCAACCCATCTACCCACTTATACATCAGTTTCTATTTAAATATAATTAAAATTGGTGAACTAGTTGCAATTATCCTCTGTTGCTTTTGGTTTTTCTTGATGACTCTGTAACTTTCAAGTTGGTATAAAAGATTGGAATAGATGTAACTCCATTTTCAAGAATACAAGTAGCCCATACAGTTTCAAATAGAAAGATTGTATTGATTTAGGAACCACTTTTTATTTCTTCTTGGTATTAGCCAGAAATATTGGAGAAAAATACTTGATATGATTATGAGCTATTATTTTCTTCCTCATTTTTTTTGTTTTTGTTTTTTTTTGGTTTACAGCTATAACATGGGTGTGATTCCAACCAGGCAAAGCATCACACTATGTGAACGCTTAACTGTGTCATCCTTCTGTAGGTAAAATTGATATTCTGCTATGATTATTGTTTTAAATGAAAATTGAATGATTAATTTTATCAAGAGGAAGAGGTAATAAATGATCGACCTGATATTGGATCAGTTACAAGATAATTTCAGGGAAATTACTGGGTGATTAATTATTACTTGCTTTCTGCTAAAGATACTAAATTTTCTTCGTATGATCTAATTGCATTACATTACCCTCGTTTGTTCCTTAATGATTTTCTCTACTGTGCAGACGGAGGCTCTCAACTGTTCTGGTGCGACTAAAATTTGCTGAGCACTTGAAAGAAGCTGTCACGTACATTGAACAAGGGCATATAAGAGTTGGTCCAGAGACAGTTACAGACCCAGCTTTCCTTGTGACTAGAAACATGGAAGACTTCGTTACATGGGTGGATTCATCCAAAATAAAGAGAAAGGTGCTTCAGTACAATGACAAATTGGATGACTATGATTTGATGAATTGAGTGGAAGGCTGTCAGTTCATTTTGGTTTACTTACTATATTTGATGAATCGTGGGCGAGTTTGTTTCCCTAGTGGCGGGTAGTTTTGACAGGCTTGGATTTTAATGGGATTATTTTTAATTATTAATTCATACCAGATTAAGTTGATGATATGTAATGAACCTGGAAATTAGTGAATCATGTTTAAAAACTATTTGGCATTTTCCCAATCAGTTGTTTGGGGATCACAGCCCCAGCTTGGATTTTAAGTGAATGATGAGCTATTGTGATTGATAGAGACCAAAGTAACAGATTTTAAATGGTCGCGTGTTTGCAAGGATTTGCCTTAATAGTCTTGCAACTGCATAATAATAGTTTATTATAATTTTCGATTGTCACAAGGTTTGTAAGTTCAAGCTGGCATTCCGCATCGTTAGCCTGTTTCCCCCATTGTTGCTCAAATTGCAAATATTCTAATCTATTCTATAGGAATGCTGAACATATACATTCCAACTTGAGACAAGCGTCATAAATAACCTATTCTAAATTTATCTGTACAATTAAATTGTATAACTTGCCGAGTATATAAGTAAAGCTCGTACATAGAACAAGACTGAGTGATAGAGTCAGCTTATAACATTTTACAGAAAATCGAATCTACAAATCAATAGTATAATCATTTTCATCAAGTATGGATCATACTTTTCTTTGTTGTAAATCAATCGACAATTTACTTGCACACATTTTGTATACTCCTTTAGTTAGCAACATTCATTTTCTGAATTAATATGTACCTAAAGTTATCTATAAAATGTTTAGAATAATTTGTCACTAAAACCTGTACTTAAATTCACACAACATTATGAACCAGCAATTAAGATTTATGAATCTTTTACTGCTACTATGATCTAACATTCAAAACATGCCTAGGAATCTCAATATCTTCAGCCTGCCGGCATAAATGTGGCTATCTCCGAATCCAAAGGATAGAATGGCCATGCAATAATATAAATCACATTTTATTATTTATGCATCCCATACTTGGCCTTACTGAATAGGAAAATGAGAAGCATCCTCAATCATTTGCATAGTTTTCCTTACCAATTTTGCTTTGTTTAAATGTTTCTGAGAAAAATAAATTCAGAAGAAACATAAAATCCAGGGAAAATTAATACTGATAAAAAAAACAGAACAAGTAAATTACAATTGTTTTAACACTTGAACTTGTTTTTCCTTTTCTTACTAAATTCCAAAGCATCACATGGCAACCATGTGCACATATTTTATTTTACATAACGATCGACAAAAAAAAAACATCAACATCCATTTTCTTAATGTATCCATAAGTTAAAACATATTGACATGAACCCTGATTTTTCATTCTTTCATTTTGTTCAAATACCTTCAACTAACAAGACCCTTTTTCCATAAAATGCCATTATCATCTTATGAATGTCAAGCCTATAGCTGTGACTATGATTGTGGAAGGAATGCCAAATTTCAGGTGACTCCAGAAGGTTAACGTGTGTGGTAGGTTTGGAGCACGGATAGCCTGTTCACACACTATCAAGTTAGCAGCTGATCCCAATAGTGAGAGATTCCCTGATATGGTGCTGGCCCAAGCTAATATCAGCCATGCCTTCTTCTCGTCTGCTTTGGAAATTGCAGCAGCTGAGGCTGCTACACGTCCTCCAAGCAAGAGAACTAGATAATAACATACATGCAAGATAATTTTAGTTAATAGTCATGTAAAAAGATCAAAATTCTTTCATAGTGATAGGTTTAGTGCAGATGAATAGAAGTTATTGTTCTATTGATAATTTCAAGCCAAAAGGAAAATACAGGAAACAAATGAAGATAAAATATAAATATCTTCTAGTGTTTGACCAAGAACCCCCCAAGCATAGTAGGTACACGTTTGTTCTTATTAGGAGTTCACCACCGCCAAAGATACAATTTCTCGATTTTAGAGAATAATACGATTTATTAACTTATATATTTTTTGCAGAGATATTAATTCTATTTCAAAGTTGTAAAGTGAAAAACTATCAGTTTAGAAAACTTAAATGTACATCTTTTTATGTTGTGCACATTTACAATATAATTCCTATTGTTCAATGACAATAGATTATGCACAGCAAGGACAGCTTCAGGAAATATGTATTCTGAAAATAGTTTCCAGTGTATGCAACCACTACTAGACAACCCGCATCATTAAAATTAAATGACAATTCTAAATGCTCACTTTCAAGAAAATGACAATCAAGATTGTCCATAAGACAACAAGTAGGTGAAGTCAACTAATAAATCACATAATGTAATTATGGCTAAAAACCAAATTCTTAGGAGTATTTTTGGCCATGAAATCCCTTTCAATAATTTCTTCCATGTCCTTCTTGGTCTCTCTACTCTTCTTCAAAGGGCTGAAGTTACACGATCTAAATTCCTCACTAGTGCTTCCAGTGACCTTCTTTACACATATCCAAACCATCTAAACTGATTTTATAACATCTTCTTTCAGTAAGTCTCTCACACCAATATCTCCTTATATACAATTGTTCACAAGATCATAAATGCACCTTTCTATAAGAAAGCTAATTACGTTGGATTTAACTCCTCTATACAGAGTAAATATGAAAATGAGAAAGCAAAGATGCATCAAGTGTTAATTTGAATTAAAGTATCTTGTTCTCCCAACTAGCTTTACATCAACAACAGATGCATCATTATTTGCTTACTTTACACATTTGCTCCCTTTAGAGGAGCCAACAGTTATGTCAAATTTGTGGAACATATCTTTTTTGTTTTTTGAAGCTAAAAAAACTGAACCACCTCTTGTAAGTTATATCACAATAGAGTGTGCGCATTTACTATATGTCATTTTATATAATACTACTCTAGTATTTCATGCTTTGTTTTGATTCCTCTGCAGTGTGCAATCAAGAACTTTTAAGTTTCAACTTGGGGAGATGGAGAATGAAAATTTAACAATCAATGTTAACAGATCAAAGTGACATTGCAAGACCTCCTCCCCCAAACAGAAAACAAATAGCGAATTATTTTCTCAGTAAAATAGATCGACATTCACTTACCTGTTGGTACATTTGAAGCCAAATTTGATAGGACAAGTATGACAATTGCAAGAACTGCAACTCCACTAGCACGATCAACACGAGAATAGGGCTCCATTACATCCCACAAAGCACTTGGAATCCCAGTTTTATTGAGGCCATCTACCGTGATAAACATTCCACAAAAGAATATCAAAAGCGAATATGAAACCTGTTACAAGAGAAAAGAAAAAAGGTAAAATATGTTAACAGCAGAGGTATAGTTAGTATTCCAAGGAGAAGTCAGAGGAAAAGAGAGAAGATATTTAAACCTTCTCTAAACATGGTCTAGCATCTTTGAAATCAAGAACTATCAGAGCAAGTGCCGCAGTAATGGCAGTCCATGACATATTTAAACCTAAAAGTAAAGCAACCAGCATTCCAACTGTGATGATGTAAACACAAGATTTCCACAATACCCTCTTCCATCTTAAGATAAAATTGTTTTTTCTTTCAGAAGGGTGAATAAGTGTATCTACGGTTGCTGAAGAACTTGCTGGACTAGTTTCATCCTTTATCAGAGATGGCACACCATTTATTCCGTCCCTCGGTAAACTTGAGATTCTAGCAGAATCAAAAGCATTGCTAGAAATACCATTACTTTCACTTGCATTTGCAATCGATCGGCTTCGTAGAATCTGTTGAGGAGAGTTCTGAATACTAATAGCTTCAAGATGGGAATTCCATTCTTGAGAATTCAAGGATGAAAAATGAGACATAGTGGCTGGAGAAAACCGATGGGAATCATACTCGTCCTCTACCACAGATTCTTCCCCTGCATCTTCTTCGTCCTTGTGAACAGATAATAACTTCCAATACATGATTAGAAGAATTATAGCATTTGCTACAACTCCTGCCACCATAGCTGGAAGAATACCAATCAGAAAATTCCCAAATGATATTTTACTCTGAACAGCTATAACCAGGTTTTGGGGGTTGCCAATTGGAGTTGCTGAGGACCCAATGTTAGCACTTGAAGCAAGGGCAAGTAGGAAGGGTGTTGGTGGAAGGTTATGCTGCCTAGCAATTTTTAATATGAATTCAGTTAAAACAACACAAGACGTGTCATTTGTGAAGAGAGCGCTTGAGACAGCAGAAACAACACATATCCTACAAAGTAAGTCCTTTGCACCTCTACTCTTCCAAGACAGCAACTTCCCTATATACTTAAACATGTCTGCTCTTTCAAGATAGACACTGACAACCATTGTCCCAAAAAGAAGACCGAGAATTGGAAGATCAATTGTGGCATAAGCTTCATCTGGAGTAATAACTTGGAATAGGACCATAAGCATGGCTCCAAAGAGGGACCCTGCAGTTCTCCCAATAGGTAGAAAAGGCACAGCTGGGAAAACTGCTAACACCCAGAAGATTGCAAATGCAACTAAACCGAGCACCACTTTTGGAACAGAAGCCATTGTCATTGTTGTGACTAAACAAGCCAACAAGAAGTCCTTAGTTCCAAACAAAGACTGAAACTTCCACCTTTAAGCTATCAGCAACAATACAACAGTAACTTCTCCTCGAGCAAAATTCTTGAAATATGAAAAGCCAACCTCTGAGACACAAGAAAAAAATAAAGATTAGCAGTAAAGCAAGTGGAACACTATACAAAGACATAAAGAATCAATTTACACGTGTCATCTTACCAAATTACCAATACCACAAAATCAAGGGCAAAGGAGATATAGCAAGAAGAGTGGACAATTCACCCACCCTTCTTTCATAAAATCTTACCTATAAAACAAAAGTTTTCACACTGAGGCCTAATTAGGAAGCATCAATTTTCTGTGGCTAACAACCTGTTTTTCTTTGGTGTGTTTCCCTTTCTTATGACCAAGTAGCTTGGTAGCTGTAGATTGGATTACGTTGTGGAATATCTTGGTGAGTTGGGGTGAAACAAAACTGAAGCATCTTCAGTCTTTTCAAGGCACGCCCACGTCAACTCATAATGTATAATATCCACAAGGTGAAATGTTACCCTATATTCTATTATATTACATGCACCATGTAAATCACAAAAGAGTTAAAACTTGAAAAGACCATCGCCACTTATAGATGCTACCTTCCCTGGCACAAATCCAAGAATCAATAAAATATTATTTTGTTTTCTCATGTCGGTCTTCAAATTATAATTCTTTGATACAATGATTGATACTAGATTAATCTTGACCTTCAATAATTACTCTAGAATTATATATATTTATCGTTGGATGGACTGAAATCAAACTTTAAATTGCTTTGCTTTGCTTTGCACATAGAGATAAGAAACGTGGTTGGATTAAACATGTTTTGTTTAATTAATTGTGTATGGAGAAATGGCGGTGATTTAAAGTGAGCTACACGATGGGGATTGAGCTTAATGCTTAATTAGACTCTCTTTTTTTCTGTAAATTTAATAACAAGAGAAAGAGACAGTAGAAGATTGATGAGGAAAAATGCTTTGGAAGTTTTCAGGTAAAGAGTGTGAAAAGGTTAGAATAAATGCGTCCAACTCTAGACCACACAGCATGTCCTTTTCATACCATTTCGTCAGATTTGAACTAGAAATCTGCTTTTAAATCAGCCAAGTATAGTAGGTTTCATCTGTTTTATGGGCTGTTCTTCACCAAATATTGGATGCTTGGACTCAATAAAGCAGAAACTTTACGGACAGTGTCACTCTCAACTAGAAGATGACATTTTTAATTGTTTCAATTGTACCTCAGCTAATATCAGTTGATAAATAGTGGAAATCCCACTTCTCTTCCCATTTTCAATTTTCACCTCTAATTTACAATTTTTTTATTTTATCTTCAATTTTTGTAAGTATTTGTAAAGGAAAGAAAGAATAAAAAATAGTATTTGTGCATACCTATGAACCTTTTGTAGTCTTCCACTGCTGAAAAGAACATTCAACTTGATGCATATGAAAATATTATCTAAAGATTTTATATAGGTGCTGTGCACAAAGACTCCCGGGGATCAAGTATCATACATAAAATTGCATTAGATGTTAATTTAATCTGCTAGATTTAACAATATCAGTTTATCTCGTGTTTTGTTGAGAGGATAAGAAACAATTAAATTAACGTAGTAGATTGATTAGTGAGAAAAATAATAATTTTAAAAAATTGATAAATATATTTAACTTTTATTTTTCTTATTTTCGTTCATCCATTTTTTTTAATCCAACTTATTTCTCTTTCTTTACTAAAAGAGTTTGAAGAAATAACTTAAAGAGAAAAAAATAGAATGAAGATAGTGTAACATTACTTCCCACGTACCACATTTGAAATTACCGGACCTTTGTATAAAGTTAGTTGATTAGGTGAGAAAATTTTGAAAATAAAAAGTGGTGGAATAGATCATGGCTTTGAATCTTAATTAACAATAATCTAACGTCAATAATGTAATAACTAACATTTGCAAATAATAATAATAAATCTACATAATTCTTGATCAGTGGTAAATATTAATTATTGATTTTGAAAAAGATTAAATAATATATAATAAATAAATATAAAAAATAAATGAATATGAAAATTTACAAAATAAACTTGTAAATATAAATATACAATATTTAACAAAAAGTCAAATTAATGTTTAATATGTCTCTTGCTAATGCATAAATATATATTTTGATAATTTTTTTTAAAAGCATCTATTGAAGATGAAAATAAAAAACAATTAAATAAATATTTTATACATAAATTAATGTTTATAAAAAAATTGAAATTACCTTCACAAAAGTGATTTATATTTTGGTATAAAATACTTGTAGCTTTATTTTTTTAATAATTGCTTAACAATGGGATTGTTATAAATAATATTCAAAAAATTTATATATTTTTTAAATAACTTTCAGTACTATTTACTGGTATTCTCGCACAATACTTTAGAATATAACAATTGATACGATAATATTAGAACGCATGTCATTTTCATTTTTAAGTTTTAATAGATTTTTTTAATCATAAAAGATGAAAAAAATTTAAAAGTAATATAAACTAATTGATACATAAAAAGAAGTTATTTATTACTAAAAACATATAAAAAAATATTTTTCATAACTATTATATATTTGATTACAAAATAATAATGAAATAAAAAATAACATGTTTATATTTATTATTAAAATAAGTAGATCTTTATTTTTATACGATAATAATAGTAAATAAAATATTTTAATGTAAAGAAATAGAAAATTTTATTAAAAATAATAAACAAATGATATATATATATATATATATATATATATATATATATATATTGTATTGTATTGGTGTGGTTAGGGATTACAACTGAAGATTGTTTTTATTTTTTAAATATTATTTAAGAATGGTTAAGATTTATTTTTATAAAATTTGTATAATTAAGACAACATAATTATATAAAAAAGTATTATTTTTAATATAAAATTTTGAAAAAAAATTATGAGTTCTTTTATTTGTATATTATACAACTTCCGTCAATGAGATTTTTTACCAGATTTATGAACAAAGTTTTACAGGAAAAAAAAAAACAAACATCGATGAATGTGAAAGCCAGTGAACAAAGATTCATGGCCCACACTGAAATCACTTAAAAAAAAGCAGTTTGATTTCTACCCAATTTCCAGTATGGGACTTTTAATGTCTTGGAGTGAGAAAAAAAAATAGTAATTTTGTTTGTTTGTAATAAACTAACCTTAAAATTAGGTTAAATTCAGAGTCCATAGCATATAATATTGAATCCCAATATGCATTTCAGTTTCCTTCTCTGTTACGGTTACAACATAAAAACCAATTCTTGTGAAATAGTTTTTAACATGTATTTAATTCATATTAAATGATGAGACAGTAAACATGGGACTTCCTGTACCCTTTTCAATAAAATCTGTCGGACTACATAAAGAGTATTTTAATTACAGTAAAAAAATAATTCTTAACCTAAGATAATAATCAAAAAGAGGTTAAATTTTAACTTTAATAACATATTAAATTTTTAACATAAAATTAATTAATAATATATAAAATACTCTAATATCTATCTCAACTGTACCTAATAACATCGTGTCAGTGATATCTAACTTCCAACAATGTCAAATTTCACTTCAAAAGAATTAGAATATTAAATAAAATAAATATGTTGATGGAAATATATAAATTAAAAATTTAAAAAGATAAAAAAATAGAAAGAAGCAATATGTGAGAAAGAATGGAAAGTGTTGAAAGAGGCAAGAGGCGTCGGTAGAATGGTGGAGGGTGCTACAGCGTTGATTGGTAGATCCATGAATGGGAAAGGAGATGGATGAGAAGGATAAGAGAGATTATGAAATTCGAAATCAAAATCTTCCGCAGTAGATTGGTTTGACCGATTGAATTTAAGTAAAATGTACGAGGGAGAGAATTGGATCGGAGCTTACCTTACTCGCGAACTTTCCCCGATGTGACTGACGTGTGAGTGTGAGAGCGAAGGAGTATGAGTAGCAGAAAAAAGGTGGAAAACTTGAAAATTGTGATTAGAACTTGCTTTGCGTTATGAACTCGTGAATGGAGAGTTGTGCAATAGTTAACAATTAACTTTAATGCAGATTGTCGTGTAGCCTGTCAAACTCATATTCACCGCTCACTCACAGGACGAGATCAAAGTGCGCCCAAATTTAACTTACCAGTCTTCTCAATTTCATTTTTTAAATTTGTTTATTAATTCCGTTTTATAAAATGTCTTTTTATTTTCTCATCTTTTATGCAAAATAACACCCAAAACTATGACAATAAAAGAAAAATTAGCACAAATAAATGTGGTTAATATGTTACTACTTCATGTGAATCTTTGGGTTGTTTCACCGACAATGCTTGGTGCTTGAAACAATGAAATGAAAAAGTATTGATTGGCTTAAACTAACCATAAATAAGGCTATTCACAACCATTGAAGAGAAGGTCAACAGAGAAGTTAAGTTAGTAGGTTGTAGAAAACGAAACAGGCAAGAGCACCTTCCATCTTGGCAATGAAAGAGAATTTTTTTTTTTTCTGTGGGGGAAGTATATGTGGACAGAGAAAGAGACACCAAAACAAGAAGAAACAACAAAGAGAAGGCTAACATCTGGTACATATATATAACACTATGCAAGGGGTCCCCTCACTCATGATGCCATAAGATAAAATCACCACTTTCTTGGGGTTCGAAGAGAAATCAATTTGAAGGTGGAACTCAATTACAAATGATGAGCCAGAGCAACAACTCGTGACTACCTTTCATCCGCACATTGGTCCATAGAGACCATGCTCTAGTCTAGCAGAATAGTGCAGATGGTACCAGTATGTAACTTTTCTTCTTCATTTTCCTCTATCCCTCTACATCTCAGCTTCATGGAAAAGTACTCTAATGTGAAGACAATTTCTTTTTTAAGTATATTTATATATTTTTAATTATATATAGGTCTAGAATAATAATTAATATATTTAAATATAAAATTAGAGATAATTTTTTTTAATATTTAATAATAATTTTAAGATGCACTAGTATACTTTTAATATATATCCGGCGCAAAGTTTCGCATGCAACTAGGTAAGGGTTGGTAAAAAATTTATATATGTTTCCTATGTCTATTGCATCATAAAAAATGTCACATCAATCAATAATAAGTTTATTGTCCTGTCTCTGTTGTATTATACTATTTTTTATAGGCAGATACTTCGAGATAAAGATCTTTAATAATGATATTTTTACAATTCAAATTCATATAACTCTTGTAAATAATTCTCTTTTAATATTATAATAATAGTTTTACTTTATTTTTATTTTTATTAAATCATTCTATAGATTATTATATTAATAAAAGTGAGTTGTTTAAAGGATTGTATGATTTTTGGTTATCAAAATATTACCACTTTATTTAAATACAAGTTTATATTTTAAGGATAAATAATTAAAATTGTGAATTATGAGGAAAATTAATAATACGTCATTTTGTTTTAATTTTTAAATTTATTTATATAATAATTCAATTTTTATAAAATTCAATGATGAAATTATGTTTTTATTAATTAATTAATTAATAGATTTTAATTTGATTTTGTTTAAAGTTATAATAAATTTAAGTTTGGGAGATCAAGATGGTATATAATTGATTGACTTTTTATTATCATAATTTCAGTTATAATCATCCATTAAGTAGTTTTCAATTCTTACATTAATAAATTATTATTAATATTTATTTGTCTCTATTAATTAATTTTTAATTTTTAAGTTAATGGATCATTATTAACATTTATTTGATTCATTACGTAGTTTTTAATTCTTAAATTAATAAATTATTATTAGCATTTTTTTTATTGAGTCTTTGTAATTCGAAGATAAAGTTTTTATATAAGCTAAATCATTTTTATCAAAAATACAAGTTGAGTCATTTTTAAATATTAGAGTTTAACTCTTTTATTTTAGTGAGAGTAATTCTCCAGAGTTCTTAAGTAATTTGATAACCCTTGGCTATATCAATGGATTTTCACATACTTTGTGAGTTATCTCTCTTGAAAAGATGACTTTTTCTTTCGATCTTTCAC